TGGCTATTATGAATTGTGCTGCTATAAACATAGGTATACATGTATCTTTATGATGTACTGACTTTAATTCTTCAAGATAAATACCTTGGAGTGGTATAACTAGGTCAGATGGTGGTTCCATTCCTAGTCTCCAAGAGGTAACTTTTGAGCAAAGACTTGAGGAGGTGAAGGAGACAACCAGGCCGATCTCTGGGACTCATCCTAGGAGTCTGGGGTCTATTCAATGCTCTCTCCAGAGAGAAGGCAACAGCTCAGCCCTTCTGAGTGCCATAGGGTACCCTTGAGGCCATACAGAAAGCCAACAATGTCACATAGCTTGGGGCAAGCAGAAGAGAGTATGCTGGGCACACACACTCCAAAGACCACTACCACCTGCCCAGGGGCCACCAGTGAGGTGAGGTTAATCACAGAAACACCTGCAGAGAAGGTGGTCTTTGCAGAGTCTGAAGAGAAGAGGCTACCTGTGGAGAAAGGAGGAGTGCCACACTCCTGGCCAGATCAGCCATGCTCAGGAGTGGGGACAGGCATGCTGCTTGTGGGGAAGCTGCTGCAGGAATAAAGAGTGGCTGTGGCCCCTGACCCTCTTAAGTGATGATATGGGAAGATCAAAAGGTTTAGGACCAGACCAGCTCAGGAGCACAGCCTGACCTTGACCTCTAGGGTTAACTAGAATCTCTGCAAGTGGGCTGTCTTGAGGACTCAATGAAAAAACATTTCAAGACCCCAAAATGGAGGCTAGTGGGTACTGAGCACTCAGAAAGCACTTTAGAGACCACCTATCCAAATGCCATTTATGCATTCATTCAACAAATATTTTAGAGCCACTGTTCTGGGTCAGGAACTTATAGATAGAGAATCCTATCCCTGCCTCCAAGAAACATCATGTCATGGGGTAATGGAGCAGTAACAATTTTTATTAAAGAGTCAGTATTCAAGAAAGGAAAGGAAACTGGCACGAATAGTTTACAAATCATAAAATTGGCATCCTGGAAGCCACAGATAAAATGAGCAGCATCCAGGCAGCCAAGAGTGATGTTCGAAGGCTAGGGGCCCTGGGTGGGGGTAGGGGTGGGGAAAGCAGCAGGGTGACAGGTGATGTGCCCTGGAGAAGAGAAGCAGCAAGAGTAGCCTGGAAAGGGTGAGGAGCACAAGGCCACAACCAGAGAGACAGCAGCTATGACAGGGTGGATCAAGGACCTCAACACAGGCAGGGACACCAACTTTGGGTAGGAGGGTGACTCCTTTCTAACCCAGGAGGAAGAGAGGCCAGATGGTTTGGGCATGTGGCTAGCTTCTGTGGTCTCAGTTCCCTCTGTGAAACAGGAGATGAGTTCAACTACTTTGGGGAAGAAGAAAGGGTGGTACCAGGCTCAGAGCTGGAAAGGCTAGAGGAGGACAGGAGAGAGAGCTGCCAAGGATGCAGGCTGAGATCACTGCAGCTTCTGGACACGGCTGAGGATGGAGGCCTAAGTGTGCTCAGAGACGGGTTAAATTGCCGGAGATGGGTTAAATTGGGGTTAGGATCTGGCTAGATGAATCCAGCCTAAGTCCCAGGGGAGGATGGAGTAGGGAATGGCTGAGGTACTGGCAAGCAGGAGGTCTACTAAGCCCAAAAGGAAGGGCATGATAGGAGGGATACAAGGAGCTGGAAGAAGGTCAAAGTACACGAGGAAGAGAAAACAGGAAGTCATGGTTGGCAGTGGGAAACGGATTTTAAGTGAGGAAATGAAATGCTCAGGCTTCCGTTTTCAAGGGATTCTGTGCCAAGCATTTAAGGACAAGATAAACAGAAAACCAATAATTACTTACAGTGTTCTTGGCACTTATAAGTAAGTGTGATGATCTGGGGGTTGGCTGAGGGGACAGGAATACAAATAATTCTGCTGGATCAGGAAGAGTTGATAAAAGAAGTTCTGCAGAAGAAGTTCCCACTAAAATCTGGTCTATATGAACCTTAGACCTGCCATGTATGAGATCAGGGGAGCTGTGGCCTGTGGAATCTGAAACCCAAGGCACAGATGTCTATATTTTCTAGGCAACATGTCTGCACACCATGGACAGAAAGCAAATAAGACACAGTTGTGGTGGAAGTTATTGGCACTTACCCATCTCCCCTAGACCTTCAGTGCACATGGACCCACTTAGACCTGAGCACATGCCTGTATTACTTTGCCCAGGAACACTCTCTTCCCACCAAAATCCTTGTCCACCATGGTAGCAGGCAAGAAGTAGAAAAATGAACACCCAGACAGAGCAGCTCAACATAATTGATGGGAACGGGAGTGTAAATACCCCACCTCCTTTCCCCCCAGTTGGGTCACTCTGAGGTTTGTGTTCTGCACAGTCACCTAGAGCCCCACTGGTGGTATTAAGCCCCAGTTGCCCACATTGACAACTAACTTGATAGCCACCTCTCATGGGCTTCCTGCTTTTCTTTTTCCCTCCCAACTCCAGGTGTTTCATTTGCCTCCCAAATTGATGACTTGCATTTAAATCTTTGTCTCAGAGTCTGCTTCTAGGAGATCCCAAAGTAAGACAAATCCTCAACAGGATACACTGGGAGGCTGAGTTTGAATTCCCTCTTTCATATGTAAGGAATTCCCAGTTCACAGCTGGCTTCACACACATCAACTGAGCATGAATTAGGATATTAATGTTTACATCAAGACCCAGGCAGTATCATGAAATGCTGTGTTGCCCCCCAGTCTGAATAAAAACCATGCTGATAACAATGTCATTTGGCCGGCTTCAGGCACACCACTGGAAAGCATAGTCCACTGATTTGTCATCCTGGGCTAAATATAAAAGAATTGTAGCCTGAGTCAGAAGTTATTTTCAGCACTTGATCTGACTGCAGCCATTGAGGGATGCTGTTCTTGAGGGCTGTCTTCCTGGAAGTTGAGGTCCACCCTGGTGACCCACACATTCCAGGGACTACCCAACACCTCTACCAGGGAGAATCATCTCTTCAATCCACCCTGACTGATGCTCCAGCACCCCAAAACCTACCACATCTCAGCCACGTTTCTGGTCACTCTCTATATGTGGAAATTTGTCTCTCCCCAAGACTATAGTCTCCACTCTCAAAACCACAGGAAAAAAGTAGGAAGGGAGGAGAATAGACACCAGTTTGTGGTATAGTTGTGGTATAGTTGTGGTATTGGGGATCAAACCCAAGGCTTCACACATGCTAGACAGGCATGGTATCATTGATTTACATCCCCAGCCCCTCACTGGTATTTATTAAGAATCTGCTAACATGCTAGTTCCAAGACCTATAAATCTTTACCAAATCCCTTCCAGAGAAATATTATTATCTCTAGTCACAGAAATGCAAGGTGAGACTTTAGATAGCCAGATGGCTTGCTCTTGAGCCATGTGATACTGTATGGCCTTCCTCTTCCTCCACCACATCTCTTGGCACCCAGAACTGTTTCTATATGTAGAGGGTGGACGATATGCAAAGGTCTCCAGGTCAAAGAGTGAGGCATAGTGCCTCTTCCCCTTCACTAAGGGACCTAACTCTATGCCCAATCTCTGACCTGCTCTTATTTGTGGGGAAGGAGCAAGAGGAGATATAGAAGTTTCCACAGTTTGTTAAGGACCCTGGATTGCTTGGTCTCATGGGCAGCTGCAGCCCCTGTCTAGGATGCAACACCCTGGGCCCCCTATTGCTGCTTAGGTAGAGAAGAACAAGAAAGTGGCTTCTGTTTCTTTGGAGTGTATCTTTGCAACTGGCTGTTCTTTCCATAGACATGGCCTCCTTCAGATCTGTGGAGGGGATGTCAGGGGAGAGATTTGTGGAGAGGAGGGTCTTCCTGGCACAGCTCCCAAACAGTGCCCCCACCCCCACCTGCCTAGTGCTCCCACAAAGTCATCCCAGAAATCTTCCCCAACCACAGTAGGACAGCCTCACTGTCCTGCATTCTGATAGCCCATAGGCATTGTTTATAGAAGCCTAACTCTATGCCCAATCTCTGACCTGCTTTAAGCAATTCATGGTTCTTAACCCACAAAATAAAAAGCTGAACTTTCCAGCATTTAAGGCCCTTCACCATCTGTCCCAAATGAAGTCTTTGAATTGATCCTACAGGATATTTCCAGGCTCCAAATTTGGCATTCTCTCACCCACTTGTAGCTTTCACATGTAAGACACTCTGGCCCTTCTCATCCAGGCTGATTCTCTGAGATCCTTAGAAACACAAAGCCTAAGCTCCCTCCCTATGTGAACAAAATGAGTACTCCCCTACCATCACCCCACCTGCATTTCAGTGATGTTCACATTGCTATCCTGGGAGCAAGGGCCATGCTTCGTGCCTCCTCACAGGAGAACCCAGCACACTGCTTGGCATGGGGCAAGCCTTAGTCCAGGTTTAATTCCCAGGTTCTTACCCCTTTTTGTGCTGGGGACTACTCAGGTATCTGGTGAAATCTATGGATTCATCTTAAGTCGTACTTTCAAAAGCATGAAACAAAAAAAAAATGACAAATGAAACCGATTTTACTGAAAAAGTTGTCAAAATATTTTTACATGAACTCAATGACTTAGAAATGTGCCTCCACATTAAGGCATTAAATGAGATCTGGTGGTACATTCTAACGACTGTCATTTCCAAATAACAAGAAGCACAGAAAATATCTCATAACATCCGCAGCAATTGAATGTGATAGGAAAATATCTGCGGGAACTGCCAATCTTGCACTACTAGTTTTGATGTACAAAAACAGTAATTTCACATGATTTTGTCCAATTCTACTCTGGTTGTTGCCTGCATTCATTGAAGGAAATGATCAGTTTGGGGTAGAGGTGAGTAAACGCTGGAGATGCTAGCTTTCCCTATCCAAGTTTATGGAGCTCCTGAATTATATCAGGGATCTCTGGGGGAGATCCTTTCAATCTCCCTGGAGTGCATAGAGGGCCTGTCCTCTTTGCACCCAAGGCCTGCCTGGACCTCCCGCTCCCGGAGCAGCTAACCAATCCGGGTCTCTGTGCCCTCCAGGCTCCCTGTTCCCGCAGCTGAAACCATCAGAGGGCGTCTTCAAGGTTATCTTCTGGCTCGGCTACTTCAACAGCTGCGTGAACCCGCTCATCTACCCCTGCTCCAGCCGCGAGTTCAAGCGCGCCTTCCTCCGCCTGCTGCGCTGCCAGTGCCGCCGCCGCCGACGCCGTCGTCCCCTGTGGCGCGTCTACGGCCACCACTGGAGGGCCTCGACTAGTGGCCCGCGCCCCGACTGCGCCCCCAGCCCGAGTGCCGCGCCCCCCGGAGCGCCGCTGGCTCTCATAGCGCCCCCAGATCCCAGCTGCCCAGGCACGGACGAGGTGCAGGCTCCAGTCTCTAGCCGTCGAAAGACTCCCTACGCCTTCCGCGAGTGGAGGCTGCTCGGGCCGTTGCGGAGGCCGACCAACCAGCTGCGTGCCAAGGTCTCCAGCCTGTCGCAGAAGATCCGCACCGGGGGCGCGCAGCACGCAGAGGCCGCGTGTACCCTGAAATCCGAGGTGGAAGCCGTGTCCCTAGGCGTTCCCCAAGATGTGGCGGAGGGCGCCACCTGCCAGGCTTATGACTTGGCCGACTACAGCAACCTCCGGGAGACTGATATTTAAGGACCCCCAAGCTAGACTGAGGAATGTGCTGAGGGTGGGCGTGGGGAGCTTTGTGGGGAGGGAGGCTGGGTTTGTTGGAGTGGCCCGGGTGGATCAGGGACTCAAAAACTGTTCAGGATGGTTGCTTCTGTGGCATCTCTGAGCAAGCCGGGCTGGACCCTTGAAGCGTTGGGAGTTTGGGGGCCCCCTGTTGGAGACAGGTGCGCAGAGCTCTTTTCCTAGGAGGGAGGGGCTGCAGGATCTGTGGTGCCATTGGCACCCAAATTCCTGTTTGAGAAACTAACCACCCCATATGCCCTGCCCTGACCCGAGTAGATTGCCCCAAGTATGGCCAGGCAGGCCTGTTCCTCTTCTTCGAGAGGAAGAGGCACCAAAGTCTTGTGTGGCTGCCCCAAGGGTAAAGGACAATGGGGTCAGGTCGCCTCAATGGACAGTTTCTCCTTAACTGCCTACTAGCAGGACCCAGTGAACCTGCCACCACTGCCAGCAAGCTTTGGTGGCCTATTGTATTTTTCCCTGGGCCCACTGCCTCCTACCCCCACCCCTGCATTGGTCCAGTGCACACTCCATCACCTGGCTCTGCCCCTCATGACTTCCCTTCAAGGGCCTTACTGTTTACACTCTGTACATAGCTCATTGTGCCTGTGCCCATCACTTCTTGCTGGGATTTTGAGCTGCCAACTGGGGAGAGCTTTATTTGTCATTTTGAAACATATTTATTGGTAAGAGTACTTATATTTTGTCCAAACTGTACAAACTTTAGCCTATAATCCATAAAGAACTTTTTTTTTCTAAAATCCTTAGAAATCCTTAGGCCCACAACAAGATAGACTAGGTCTCTATTTACCTCTCTAGCTTCGACTCAACTGTCTCTTTAACTGATGACTACTGTCCTTTGGGTCTTTTAGCATGACCAAAGGACTTGGGAGTTTTATTGGCTTTTAAAATTCACATGATTAATTTTGGTCACCAAATAGTAATCATAAGCACAAATTATCCCTTTGCTGATCTTCCCAGATGCATCCCTGATGCTCTGAGGACCTCAGTGAGGAAGGTGGTCATCAGTTAAATGGGTAAAAAATTACTTTATGTGAAAAGATATACAAGCCCAAGTAGACAGGTATACAGGGCTAGGGAAGAGAATCCATACTTAGCATCAGTGTTTGTTAGCTTTAAGTAAAATCTCATATTCCCATAGATTGTAGGCAGTTCAGTCTTCAGCTAGATAATACCAACCACATTTATCCAACCAGCAAGGGAGTAATTATTGTGGCCAGTGAACCCTTAAAAGGAGCAATGGTTAAACATTGCCTGGGGTACCTAGGATTATTCTGAAACTGGAAAAGCCAGCTGCTGAGCCAACATGGACCAATATTGAGGCTAGAAGTCTCTATCTTATACTAGGGAGATAGTTTATGTGAAAGGTCACCATAATTCAAACCTTTGACATCCATTTTACAAGGTTAAAAGGCAGTCAATGGCAGGGCTTGGATAGTTCACATGGTGGTGGTTCTATAAAAGGATCTGGGCTTTCAGGCCTGGCCTTCCTCAACCTCGAGGAATAGAAAGGACAGTTCATAGCCAGTTCTGGGAGTATAGTGCATACTTTGCACATATTGGCCACTGTAAAGCTGGGTGGAGGGCACCCTTGCTGTCTTCTCACAGAGGTAGGAGCCATTTTTCAAATCAGAGGTTGGAGAAGAGGCAGACACCAGTGTCCAATGACTGAACACTGGCTTCATGCACAGTGGTAAACCAGACAGAGTTCTGAGCAGGGTAAATGTTGGCTCCCACGCTCCAGGCTAGTTGCATCCACAGGTGGTCAACAGTGAGGGTAAGAGAATAGAATGGGAAGGAGCCTTTATCAGGAGGATTTGGGGATCTCCCTGCCCTGTATAACCCAATGGAAATAGAGACAGGAGGAACTGAGGGCTTGCTCACTACTTGCTCCAGGTGTGATGATCACCTGCAGAACTGTTCTTAGGTTCAAGCCACAGCCCTGTATCCTGGCACAGCAGCCATTTGCACCCAGCTGCTTCCTTCTGTACCCCTCAGATCAGGTACCAAGCCCACTAGCAGTGCAGGAGGGCTGCAGAGCCCCCGAGAGGCCATGCCATATAGCAGAGGCATCCAGGGACCTTGCTCTAAAAACAATAGAACACTGCCACTGACCTTGCCCTTGGGACATGTCAGAGGGTCAAAGAATATCCAAGAGGAATGAAAGGAATAACAATGCCCTTGTGGAGGAGGGAGGTATTGCAAGTGATCTGGAAACACCTTGAAGAAGTACAATTGCACCATTTCCTGGGTCTTCAGGTACCTCAGTCCCCCAGCTTGGACTACATGATTGATTACAGAGACTGTCCCCCGGCTGCATGTAAAAGAGGGCTTTTGCCTTCAGGGAAGCTCCTTTACGTGTGCTCAAGGATGGGTGAAGCCTGAAGGAATCGGTGAGTGGTGAAAGGGGCGGTCCTGTGAGATGTGACAGAGACAGAAGCAAGCTTCCAGAGACATGGCATTTGCCTAATTCCTCCTCCCCAATCCTTAGAAAGCCTCATTTCTGCTTCCCACCCAGGAACTCAAGCTGCAGTCTGCCCTCCCTCTCTAGCAGGCTCCTGCCACCCACCTTGCCTTGCTTCTCACACTCTTCCCAGGCTGCTTTTGCAAGTCACCTGGGACAGTCCATTTCTCCGCTCTCCTCCCCTATGACTCTGTCATAGTCCATGTTGATGGAAGCCCCTTGCTTGCTGAGATATTCACTCCCTGCCTCTGGGCCATGCAAGGAGATCTCTGGGATCCCAGGGTCTCTCCTGATATGACGAACACTTCCTCTCCACCCCCTTCTTCCTCTCTCCTCTAAAGTCTCTTCTCTAAAGTCTCCCCTCCCTGCCCTTAAAAGTTTCCCCAGGGTTTTATTCTAACTTTTCTCAACTCTCCACATACTCTCATCCACTTCACATATCTCAATGACCACTTGCTTATGAATGACTCCCAAGGGGCTGTCTCTAGCTCTGCATGTGTTCACCCTCCCCCTTGGTGACCTCCAGACACCCCAAATACAAACCTCAAGGCCACGCGCCTCCTGAGCATATCCTGCCCTCTCTGATTTCCAACTTCCAGAATCCTCAAGCTCTCAAGACCTCCTTCAAAGATCCCCTACTTGGAATTAAGCCCTGAGTATCCCATAGCCCCCCACCCCCAGGATGCTCACAAACAGTTCATCCTGGCTACAGTCTAGAAAGCCAGCTATGCTGTGCACTCCTGTGGGAACACCTGCTTCCAGTCCACCTTACCCTCCCATCTGAAGCCCCACTGCCCCTGCAGGCCCCTGCATCAGCAGCCATACTCTTCCTTGATCCCTCTGTTTCAGGCGCTGACAGTTCTGGGGAAAGGTTTGGAACCTCCATTGTCCTCTGCTCAGTGACCTGTCAGAGCTCAGACTCCTCCAAGCCTTTCTGACCCTGATTCTATTCCTGTCCTGTTACACCCCCAGGGGGGTACATGTTCAAAATCCACTTGGAAAGAATTTCCTTTTTTTTTTCTTCTTGTGACTCCAGGGAAGCACAAAACCAGATGCTTGCAAAGGCTAAACCAGTCCCCACAGCCTCTCTGCCTGGCATAGCTCCCCAGGGAGCTATTGGACCCAGGTGGCTCTGGGGGGTAGGACCTTAGGGAAGCAGGGCCTGGCACTGCTCCTGCTGTCTGAGCTGGCCCACTTTCCTTCCCCCACCCTGCCCCTTGGGAAAAAAAGGCAACAACAAGAATGCTGAACAGAATCTGCCCACATTCTAAAATTACCCTGGTCTGGGGGTAATTAAGGGGAAACCACAGGATACATATGGAATCAAGAAGAAATCCAGGACATGGAGCCATACAGGTTGAGCTTTCAGAGCCAGGAACCAGAGGTAAGGATGCACTGGAAGCATCTGCAAGCACCTCAGCTGTGACATTTCTGGACATTTCCTTCAGGGATTCACTATTCATGTATCTCCACTATACTGCTTGTGTCCACCTCTTTCTGTCCTGGCAAAAACCAGAGAAGGAAACTCAGCTCCTTTTCCTGAGAGGGAATCAGATTGGTCCCGCTCATCATTTGAGCCAAGCCATAAGGTCACTGGTCAGCCTACGGATTGGCTAATTTTGGGTCAGGCTTAACAGCAGGAGCAGGCAGATGGGAGTGGGATGGGCCAAGTGGGACAACAGCCCACTGGGCACCAGCCTGTGAGGAGCAAGTCTTTTCCAGAGGGGGCAGGGCTGGTCAGATAAAGATTGACATCTCTGGCACACTGGGTCAGCTAAGCATGCAGCAAGCAATGAGGAAACTGCCTGGTATCTAGATAAACCCTTGGGCATTAGTTTTCTCACTTGACAACTTACAAGGCAAATGGGTTACTGGTATTGTCATGCTCTCTCTGCTCATAATCTATTTGTCCTCTTTGTTGCTACATCATGACTAGTGGCTCCATATTTCAAGAAGTTGTTCAAAGCAGAGCAAGAGAAGGGTTGGCTGTAGCATCTACCTCCTTTTCTCAAGCTAGCAAAGCTTTCCCAGAAACACCCCTCTACCTCCACCCCCATTCAAGGTTGTATTGGCCAGAACTGGGTCACATGACCACCCTGTGCAGGAGACTGGAAAAAATCAGTGTGATTGGTCTAGATCAGGAGTCCAAAAATTCTACAGGCCAAATTCAGCCCATTGTCTGACTTGGGACAGCCTATGAACTAAGGATAGTGGAAAAAAGCAAAAGAAAAAATATTTCATAATATGTAAAAATTATATGAATTTACTGCATAATATCTCCAATTTTGCTAACTGACCACAAAGCCCAAATTTGCTACCTTGCCCTTTATAGGAAAAGTCTGTCAACCCTTGTTTTAGGGCAAGTAGGATCACTGATTGCCTTCTGTTGGGCACACTGCTATCCTGAACCAAAATCAAAGTTCTGGCTGCAATAAACCACAGAGAAAGGATATTGGGCAGGCAGCCTTCCATGTCTGTTATATATGCCATCAACACATTCCAAGTCTAGATCCAATTAATTCATTTGAATTCAGTACAAACTAAGAACCTCCTCTTTCTTCAGGACCCTGGCACAAAGGGATTATTCTGGAAG